TGCGATGCTGATGCTGCTGGTCCGAGGACCACACTTTAGCAAAGCTCCTCACAACAAAGGAATTGGACGCTTTCTTAGAATTTGTTGGGGAGAGTTGTACTGGCATCTCTGATTCCTCCCAGAGGCTTTGCCTCCCTGTAGCTCACTGGAGGCTGGGGGAGAAGACAGAGGGGGCTCAGGATGTAGCGTCCTGACCGAAACACCTCCAGGCCTCGTGGTTTGGGTGCTATCAGGCTTCTGATTCCCATGGGCCCACAAGATTGGGTGCCCTGAGCGAAGCACTGTGGGAGTTCACTGGGGTGAGCCTGATCGTGGCAGAGAGAGAAGTTGTTATCGTAATGGGGCTCCCGGGCGTGGGGAGACAGGCCGTGAACCAGCAATCAGGCAAAGGGGCATATGCGTGTGACAGGAAGCCCTGGGGCCAGGCCAGGACTGGGCAGCATGCCTAAGCCAGCCTGCCCAGGGGTGTCCACGGGACAGCTGACACCTGAGGTTGGGCAGGCGTTCGCTTGGTGACAGAGTCAGATCCACGTCACAGCTGGTGCCAGGGCCTGGAAACTAGGCATGTCGCGGCCCATGAGGGACCGAGAGGATTCTGTGTGAGAGCCTCTGAGTGGGGGAGGGAGTCGTGAGATGGGGGTAGAGCAGCAGAGGCAGCTCAGAAGCCAGGGGCTCGTCCCGGGGGTAGAGAGGGCTGTTGCCCGGTGAAGCTAAGGCCGACGCCGTCAGATGTGCAGTGGAAGGCTCGGCCTGGCCCCTGTGAGGAACGGACGGGGCAGGGAGGCAGGGAGCCCAGGAGGGACACGGTGACCCAGCTGAGAGGCGACGGGGCTGGGGTGGGACCCAAGCCAGCCTGGTGGGGCTGCAGGTGTGGGGAACCCAGGAGGAACTTAGTTGGACACTCTGAGTCTGATGGCCGCTGGGGATAGGAGGAGATCCAGGAAGACTCTAGGTTTCTGGTTGGGGAAGGGAGTTCTGAGCTGTTTGGGAGCAACGGCATGAGCCAAGGGGAGTGAGGTGCCAAGGAGACCCCAGTGGAGTGAGGCCCAGGGCACAATGTGCAGGGGAAGTGGGTGCTGGAGAGAGCGGGAGAGGGGGCGGGCTGTGGGTAGGGGCAAGATGAGGGTAAGGGGCCGAGCAGGCTGGCATTAATGGACTGGGAAGGTGACACTCTGCTCCTTATTATCTTATTCTTGTAAGACACCCACTTCTATGCTGACCTGCATGTCCTCACCTGTCCCTGTATGTCTCTGTCCACTTCCAGAATATGAAGCTGTGACCACCGAAGCCCCATCCACCATGGCCCCTGAGCCTCCCACCAAGCCCCGCCTGGGGGAGCTGACCGTGACCGACGCCACTCCCGACTCCCTGCACCTCTCCTGGACTGTCCCCGAGGGCCAGTTTGACCACTTCCTGGTCCAGTACAAGAACGGGGACGGGCAGCCCAAGGCAGTGCGCGTACCGGGCTATGAGGATGCGGTCACCGTCTCAGGCCTGCAGCCAGACCACAAGTACAAGATGAACCTGTACGGCTTCCACGGTGGCCAGCGCGTGGGCCCGGTCTCTGCCACTGGGGTGACAGGTGAGTGGATGCTGGAAGCCCCAGGGTGGGGCCGGTGGGAGGGTCTCCCTCTCCCAGGTGATGGGTGAGAGGGGTGCAGGAGGCCCCTCTGCTCGAGGCTGAGCCATGGTGCCCTCCCGGGGCTCCCTGAGGCCTGAGGGGTCCTCCCCTGCAGAGTAGGGCCTCCATGAGCTGTGCTGGGGACTGTCTAGGGTTCCCCACAGCTGACCCTCAAGGCTCCCAGGCATGTTTGTGAGATGCAGCTGAGCAAGCCCACCCAGCCCCAAGGATGGGCTTCCCTGAGCTGAATTTGGGGGCCCCCAGACATGATCACAGCTTCTCCATCCTTCTCCCAAGACCTGAGGACATCTCCTGGGGATCCTGCCTCACCTCCTCTGTGTCTGTCCTTCTCAGCTGCAGAGGAAGAGACCCCAACCCCCACCGAGGTGGAGGAGACGCCCAGCCCCACAGAACCCAGCATGGAGGCCCCAGAGCCCCCCGAGGAGCCCGTCCTGGGGGAGCTGACGGTCACAGGATCCTCCCCAGACTCGCTGAGCCTCTCCTGGACCGTCCCCCAGGGCCACTTCGACTCCTTCAGTGTCCAGTACAAGGACGGGGACGGGCGGCCCCAGGTGGTGCGTGTCGGGGGTGACGAGAGTGAGGTCACCATCGGGGGCCTGGAGCCGGGGCGCAAGTACAAGATGCACCTGTATGGCCTGCACAGGGGACAGCGCGACGGCCCCGTGTCCACCGTGGGCGTGACCGGTGAGTGGGGGCGGGGGCCCTGTCCCCAAGGTCTCCTTCCATTTTCTCTTGCTTTCCCCTTTGGATCTCAGCCCTCCTCACAGATGGTCCTTTAGATCCGTCTCCTTTCCCATACGGCACTAATGATCCTGCCTCATCCTTTAGTTGAGTGAGCTTGATGGAGACTGTGTTCTCGGTCAGTTGGCATGTACCCTGGGCTTCATAAATTTTACCTGTGTTCTTAAACTTGCTTATTCATATATGGGCTCCTCAGGCTCCCCAACAGGGTATTTTAGTGACTCAGAACGTGGCTGCAGAGCCAGATTCTCTGGGTTTGATTCCTGCTCTGAACGTACTGACTGTGTAAATTCATGAACATTTCTTAACTTCTCTGCGCCGCAGCCCCACGCAAAATGGGGTGGGTGGTACTAACGGCATGTGGCTCGTGTGTCGTGTGAGGGGTACGTGTGCTGCTGTGGGAGCCGCCTACCGCCGTGCCGGCGACGCATCAAGCACTTTAGAAGAGCTTGTTGGAAACCATTTGCTTCATAGTCTGGGGAAAGCACTCCCTCTCTTGTGAAGGGTCCTGCCTTTGACCGCTCAGCCTCCTGTGCTCCGTTCCAGCCTCCCTGCCCGCAGAGCGCCCTGTGGCACCCCGCCTGGGGGAGCTGGCTGTGGCAGCCGTGGCCTCCGACACAGTGAGCCTGTCGTGGACGGTGGCCCAGGGCTCCTTCGACTCCTTCCTGGTCCAGTACAAGGATGTGCAGGGCCAGCCCCAGGCGGTGCCTGTGGGTGGGCACCTCCGTGAGATCAGCATTTCGGGCCTGGACCCGGCCCGCAAGTACAAGTTCCTACTCTTCGGCCTCCAGGATGAGAAACGCCACGGCCCAGTGTCTGCAGAGGCCAAGACGCGTGAGTGGAGGCGGGAGGCCACCTTTGGCGCTAGGGCCTCCTGGGTGTGCCTCGCCCCCTTGTGGCGACAGTCAGACTTTCCTGTTTCTATGCTCCACACTCCCGCGGCAGGGCCTCCGCACCTGTTTATGTACTAGGCCTGGTGAAATCCAGGTCCAGAGCTCCCCGCTTAGCCCTCGTTCTCGTCCTTCTCCCTGCTCTTTCTCCATCCTGACAGACGCTGCCTTCTTCCCTGGCCCGTCTTTTGTCCCTACTCCTCTGCTGCCCCACCTCCTGCCCTGTGGCCCAGCCACGCTGTCCCAGCTCCCAGGACCAGCTCCCAGAGCCGCAACACCCTGAGGAAGCTCTGTCAGTCTCTGTCACTCTCCACATACCTCTCTCTCTTCTGCAGTCTCAGACACGAAACCTCCCCGCCTCGGGGAGCTGACAGTGACGGACCTGAGCCCGGACTCCGTGACCCTCTCGTGGGCGGTCCCCGAGGGTGAATTCGACTCCTTCGTGGTCCAGTACAGGGACAGGGACGGGCAGCCCCGGGTGGTGCCTGTGGCCGCAGACCAGCGCGAGGTCACCGTGTCCGGCCTGGAGCCCAGCAGGAAGTACAGGTTCCTGCTCTACGGACTTCAGGGTGGGAAGAGACGCAGCCCAGTCTCTGTGGAGGCAAAGACGGGTGAGCCCCAGCCGAGCCCCAGCCCTCCACCACACCTTCTCTAGAGCTGCTGCCTATCGTGCCCCCAGAGCTGGCCGCCCCCCGGCCTATCCATGCCTCCAGCCTCAGCCTTTGCAGCAGCAAAAGCAAACATTTACTGAGTCTCGACCGAGCACTATTCTAAGTGTGTTACATGCATTATTCCCTCATTCACTGACTGCTCGATGTCATAAAAAGAATCCAGTCTTTGGAGCCAAGCAGACCTGCGTTCAAATTCCGATTGCCGGTGGTGTGGCCACGGACAAGCCACTTCCTTCCCTCGAACCGCAGTTTCCGTACCTGCGTAGGCATAATAAATACGATCAGCACTCCGTAAATGTTCCCATCCTCTTCCCTCCATCCCAGCTGAGGCAGGAGGTGGAAAATATGGAAGGGTTTGGCTGCAGAAAGACTATGGAAAAATCTGGTGTCATTGTGCCCATTACTCAGCCCCTTGAGGAAAGGGTGGAGGTGGGTCACTGACCCTTACCCCACTCCCAGGACCGTGAGTCATCCTGGCCGGATGGGGATGGAGCACAGGGTCAGTTGGGGCCTGGGACCCTGAGACTGCATAATTCTCTTCCCTAAGCCCCCATTATGGGGAGTGGATACAGGCTTCTCTGACCCCATCAGCCAGCGCCCATCCCCACCGAGGCAAGTCTCTTCTGCGTTCTGCCCTCCATTCTCCCAGTGCTGCCCCACCCTGCTGCCCTGGTCCAGGGGTGGTAGTGCAGGGCTGAGGAAGTGGGTAGAAGGATGGCCCGGGCTGATAGCAAGGGAGGGGGAGGTCATGGCCAAGCTCTGGGAGCCCATCAGCTTGGCTGGCTGCCCAGCCCAGCTCTTAGTGTTTGGGGGTGTCTCCCTGACAACCCAGATACACTCTGGGAGCCTTTCTGGGCTCCAGCCGCATCCCTGCTCAGGGGGTCAGGGGCCAGGGAGAAACTGAGGCCCTTCTCTACACCCCCAGGGGCCCTATCTCACAAGGTGATCTTTTATGCATTTACTGCACCCTGATAACAGCAGGGAGGGAGTGGGGGCAGGAAGGATTTAGGGCAGTGGCCTCCGGAGGAGAGATCGAGCTGCTCGCTGCCCTTCCTTTGGGCAGATTGAAGCCACACTGCAGGGACCCTTTCCTAGACCCTCATGCCTCCCAGAAGTTGCCAGGGCTGGGGTAGAGGTAGCTCTTGACTAACAGTTTCTCCTCCTGCTCTCTCCACAGCCCCCCTGGAGCACCCACCCCTCCTTGGGGAGCTGACAGTGACAGATGAGACCCCAGACTCCCTGCGCCTCTCATGGACGGTGGCCCAGGGCCTCTTTGATTCCTTTGTGGTCCAGTACAGGGACCCAGCTGGGCAGCCCCGGGCAGTGCCTGTGGCCAAAGACCAGCGGGAAGTCACCATAGAGGGCCTGGAGCCTGGCAGGAAATACAAGTTTCTGCTGTATGGGATCCACGGAGGACAGCGCCTGGGCCCCATCTCCGTCCTGGGAGTGACAGGTGAGCAGGAGCCTGAAGGGACGACAGGAGCAGGCCTGGGGCATAAGGAGGCCTGCCCAGGGCTCGGGAAGGAAGGGAAGTGCGGTTCGGCCGACTTTGGTGGTGACCAAGGAGTCCGTGGAGGCAGGCGCAGGGCAAGGCCCTGACAGCGGCCCCGGCCTCCCAACCCCCACCCCGTCCCTCTCCTGAGGCGGCTCTTACCAGATGGGGGCACACCCCCTCCTGTGGATGAGTCAGGAGCCTTTTCTCTCAAATGGAAAATAACTGGAGAAGGACATAGGCGAGGGACGCTGAAGGAGTGGCCTCCTCCGCGGGAGGTGTTGACACCCTCCCCGAGGGAGGGGCCAGCACCCCGAGGTGAGGCGCGAGAGGCCGTGGAGGTGGAGAAAGGGAAGCGAGTGTGGGACGGACCCAGCAAGCCATCCCACAGAGGGGTGATGGGGCCACAGTGCTGGCGCTCAAAGGGGCCCAGAAGTGGCAGGACTCAGTGCCAGGGCAGGGAAATGGCAGATTCACAGGAAGGAAGGTGCCAGAAGAGCCTCGCTCCCCTCCTGCTCAGCTTCTCCCCTGGGCTTCTCCCACGCAGCCCCCTGGCGCCCAGCCACAGAGGCCCCCGAGCCCCCCGCAGGGCCCCAGCTAAGGACACTGGCAGTGAGCGACATAACCCCAGACTCCCTGCGCCTCTCATGGAGTGTGGCCCAGGGCCCCTTTGAGTCCTTCGTGGTCCAGTATCAGGACACAGATGGGCAGCCCCAGGCCTTGCTCGTGGGCGGCAAGCAGAACACGGTGCAAGTGTCGGGCCTGGAGCCCCGCACCGCCTACGAGTTCTTCCTCTACGGCCTCCACGAAGGGAAGCGCCTGGGGCCTGTCTCGGCCGAGGGCACCACAGCTACTGGCAGGCCAGGGCCCTCTCTCTAGGCCTCACCCACCTCTGGACTGGGACCGACAGGGCTAACGGGGGTGCCCAGACGTGGTGACTGTAGAGAAAGAACATGAGGAGGGCCCCAGAAGGAGGAAGGGTGGCCCAGCAGCCTTCGGCTCTACGCACACCTGCTCACTATGGGTCCTACCTGGGAGGGCCCGCCCCTCATTAGCTCCATTTCCCAGATGAGAAACTCGGGGCCAGGGTGGGGCGGTGCCAGAGCCCTGCCCCAGGCCACCGAGGTGGTGTGCTTCTGTCTCCCACCCGCTCCGTGCAGGGCCTGCTCCTGCCGGCCTCACCCCCGGGGAGCCAGGGCCCCGCCTGTCCCAGCTGTTGGTGACCGACGTGACCACCAGTTCGCTGCGGCTCAACTGGGAGGCCCCGTCGGAGGCCTTTGACTCCTTCCTGCTCCGCTTCGGGGTTCCATCCCCAAGCACCCTGGAGCCGCACCTGCGTCCCCTGCAGCAGCGGGAGCTGACAGTGCCGGGGTCGCGGCGCTCCGCCGTGCTCCGGGACCTGCACCCGGGGACCCTGTACAGCCTGACGTTGTATGGGCTGCGTGGGCCCCATAAGGCCGACAGCATCCAGGGCACGGCCCGCACCCTCAGCCCAGGTAAGGCCCCTCAGTGGGCACCTTCGTGTGCTGCCCCGAAGTGAGGGGTCTCTACTTTGTAGGGCAGGACCTAGTGCCTCAGCCAGAGGGGAGCTTGGTGAGTGGTGCAGGGCTGGGAGGCGTCTACAGAGACTTCCTCTCCTGGGTCTAGAGGAAAGGGGTGGTGAGCAGGGGCCCAGGAAGAGGCAGGGGTGGGGATCTTGGGGTGGGAGCCTCCCTGCCCCGTGCCCTCACCCACGTTCCTCGGCACACCCCTCCCCGCAGTTCTGGAAAGCCCCCGTGACCTTCAGTTCAGCGAAATCGGGGAAACCTCGGCTCAGGTCAGCTGGATGCCTCCAGCATCCAGAGTGGACAGTTTCAAAGTTTCCTACCAGCTGGCAGATGGAGGTGACACCCTTTCGCCCGTGTCCTCGTTTGCCCTCATCTCTCCTGCTCCCTGCGCCCTGCTCTCCCTGCTTGCTTCCCGGGGCAAACTCCCGAGCCCACTGTGTTTTCAGGCGAGCCGCAGAGTGTGCAGGTGGATGGCCGCGCACAGACCCAGAAACTCAAGGGGCTGAGCCCGGGCTCTCACTATGAGGTGACCGTGGTCTCTGTCCGTGGCTTTGAGGAGAGCGAGCCTCTCACCGGCTTCCTCACCACAGGTAAGATGGACTAGGCCCCGGGCAGGAGGTGGGGGGAGAATGAATGGGGAAGGGGGAAGGTGTGAGAGGCTTGGACTGTGGACCAGAGGCCAACGGAGCCTGGGAAGGTGAGGGCTGAAGAGGCGGGCAGGGGACAGCTCTGAGGCCCCTCCCTTCTCCCAGTTCCCGACGGCCCCACTCAGCTTCGAGCGCTAAACTTGACGGAGGGATCGGCTCTGCTGCACTGGAAACCGCCCCCGGCCCCTGTGGACAAGTATAACGTCCGTGTCACAGCCTCAGGGGGTGAGCGGGGCTGCGGCCTCTGGCGGGGACTTGTTGGGGGGGAGGGGCTCCGGCAGGGTGAAGGGGGGCAGATGCTGATGCTCACCCCACTCCCAGCCCCCTCACTGCAGGCCTCAGCCCCGGGCAGTGCGGTGGAGTACCCTCTGAGTGGCCTGGAGCTGCACACCAACTACACAGCGACCGTGCGTGGTCTTCGGGGCCCCAACGTCACCTCCCCAGCCAGCATCACTTTCACCACAGGTGCAGCCTGGGAGGTGTGCGCGACGGGGGGAGGGGAGGTTCCAGGGAGCTAGGATGGGCCTTGTCTCCATCTCCTCTTCCCATCTTCCCCTCCCAGGGTTGGAGGCCCCCCAGGACCTGGAGGCCAAGGAAGTGACCCCCCGCACAGCCCTGCTCATTTGGACTGAGCCCCAAGTCCCTCCAACCAGCTACCTGCTCAGTTTCAACACCCCTGATGAACAGACCCAGGTGCCCCCATCCCTCCCTCACTCCCAGGTTCCAATCCAGGAAGTGCTGCCCCCTCCTCTGCCTCTCGCAGCAGGGCTCCCCGTCCCCTGACCTGCTCCTCGTCTGTCCACAGGAGATCCTGCTCCCAGGAGGCGTCACCTCTCACCAGCTCCTGGGCCTCTTCCCCTCCACCCCCTACAGCGTGTGGCTCCGGGCTATGTGGGGCGAGAGCCTCACACCGCCTGTGTCCACCTCCTTCACCACTGGTATTTGGGCACTGGGACAAATTTGGTCAGGGGCTGAGCGGGCCTAGGGTTTGGGAAAAGGACCGGCCCCTCATTGTCCTCTCCCCAGGTGGACTTCCGATCCCCTTCCCTCGGGACTGTGGGGAGGAGATGCAGAACGGAGCCCGCACCTCAAGGGCCACCACCATCTTCCTCAATGGCAACCGCGAGCGGCCCCTGGACGTGTTTTGTGACATGGAGACCGATGGGGGCGGCTGGCTGGTGGGTGGCACACGGAAGCCCAGGGGTCTGCCCGGGGCAGGGGCTGCCGTGCCAGCAGCCATAGGCCGATGGTGCCTCCGCCCGCTTCCCAGGTGTTCCAGCGCCGCATGGACGGACAAACGGACTTCTGGAGGGACTGGGAGGACTACGCCCACGGCTTTGGCAACATCTCCCGGGAGTTCTGGCTGGGTCAGTGCCTCACAGTGCTGGGGGCCGGGGAAGGGACGGAGGCCCTGTGGACACCAGGACCCTGAGGAGAGCACTGTCCCTCCCCCCAGGCAACGAGGCCCTGCACAGCCTGACAGACGCGGGCGACTACTCCATGCGCGTGGACCTGCGGGCCGGGGACGAGGCCGTGTTCGCGCAGTACGACTCCTTCCGGGTCGACTCGGCGGCCCAGTACTACCGCCTTCATTTGGACGGCTACCACGGCACGGCAGGTTAGGGGCGGGCCGGGGGGCGGGTGGGGAGGTGGGGCAGGGGGCGGGGAGGCCCTCACTGCTCCTCTCACACCTGTCCAGGCGACTCCATGAGCTACCACAGTGGCAGTGTCTTTTCTGCCCGGGATCGAGACCCCAACAACCTGCTCATCTCCTGCGCTGTGTCGTACCACGGGGCCTGGTGGTACAAGAACTGCCACTACGCCAACCTCAACGGGCTCTACGGGAGCACAGTGGACCACCAGGTGAGGGGCCTGGGGGGCAGCACCGAGCTGGGCGGTGGCGGGGGCGTTCACCCCGCTGGGGTGCGACAGGACAAGCTCCCCAGCCGCTTGGTGCCTCAGGACCCTCATCTGTGAAATGGGACAATAATGCCAATCTCACCAAGCTATCTGGAGGGAGACATGAGCACGATTTATTGGACGTAGAGGGCCAGCTCAGATGAAGCCTCAGGCCTTGGCAGTTGAGGATCATGAAGTCGGTGGGGGGTGGGAGAGGGGTTGATTTCTGGGAACCATCTCCCCAGAGGGGCAGGGGTGGGAGCAGATGGGATGTGTGGCTTTGACTCTGTCTCGACATCTCCTCTCCCAGGGGGTGAGCTGGTACTACTGGAAGGGCTTCGAGTTCTCTGTGCCCTTCACGGAAATGAAGCTGAGGCCAAGAAGCTACCGGCCCCCAGCGGCCCAGGGAGGCTGACCACCGCTCGCCTCTCGGGCGCCCCAGAATGACTGCCGAGCACTGAGGGGTCGCGCTCAGAGAAGAGCCCGGGGCCACCGTGACCGTCCAGCCACCGGAGGGAGCCTTCTCCATCTGCGATCTCACAGCACCATGTTTACAGGGGGGGAGGGCAGGGGTTTGTACGGGGAGTAATAAAAGGGGAAACTGAGGCATGCGTGCGGCCGGCGTGCGTCCTGCCCCGTCACGGGTGCTGGCCCGGCGCCCGGGCCCCTGCGCCCCGGGGCTGCAGCCGCACCTGGAAAGGCCGCACGGTGAGGTTGACGCCGCCGCGGGGCCGGGGCTGCAGGGAGGGCAGGGCGCCGGTGGGCGGCAGCAGCGTGAAGGCCCGCAGCAGCTGCGCCAGCACCACGCGCAGCTCCAGGCGCGCCAGCGGCTCCCCGAGGCACACGCGGGCCCCGCAGCCGAAGGCCAGCACTCTGGGGCGGGCGCCGGGGGCCAGGAAGCGATCTGTGGGCACAAGGACAGAACCCGGGGTTCTGTAGCCGCGGGGACCGGCCTCTGGCGCCCCCACGCCGCGGGCGCCCTCCCCGCCACGCACCCGGCCGGAACTCGTGTGGCCGCTCCCAGACCGTCTCGTCTAAGTGGGCGCCTTGCAGGTTGGGGATGACAACCGTGCCCTCGGGGATGTCGTAGCCCAAGATGCTGAGGGGAGGGTGGAGTCAGAGGCCTGCCAGGATCCCTCCCCTCCCCCCCACCCCCCCAGCCCCGGCTTGGCCCCACTCATCCCCAGCCCTCGGGAGCCACCTGCTAGGCCGCGTGGCACGGTGCGGCAAGGCCAGGGGCACGACGGGCCGCAGGCGCAGCACCTCGGCGATGGTGGCCGTGAGCAAGGGCAGCCGTGCGGGGTCTCTGTATGGGACTCGGGAGCCTGACGCTCCAGGGCCCAGCTCACGATCCAGCTCTTCCTGCAGTCTCTGCTGAATCTGGGAAATGGGAGCAAGCCTGGTGTCTGGGGCCGGGACCCCGAACCGCCCCCTGGAGCAAACCCCCCCCCCGCCACAAGTGTCCGAGCCGATCAGGAGAAGCCAGCCCCCGGGTGAACACAGCCCTCGCACGCTGCGGGGGGGGGGGGGCGGCGGGCAGTGAGCTGAGGTCCCGGGGCCCCAGCCAGGCCACACCCAGGGTGCACCTCAGGGTGGTGAAGCAAGAAGGCCACGGCCCAGGAGAGGGTGGTCGCCGTGGTCTCAGTGCCACCAATGAACAGGTCCACCACAGACATATGCACGTGTCCTTCAAGGAGCTGTCCGCAGCCCTCCCCTGCTCTTGGCTTGCCCACTCGTTGGAGCATATAGTCAGTCATGTCCTTCCACTGGCCTGCCACCATGCTCTCCTGTGGAGGGGAGGAGGGGCCGGCCTCAGTGCCTGGCTTGGCGAGAAGGCTCTCAGGGGAGCCACGGGTCCCGGACCAGTGGGATGCTGAAGAACCGGCCCAGCTCTGGGGCAGTAGGATCCCAGGCTGTGGGCTGCGGGGGCACCGGGGACGTACAGCCTTCCCACCTTGTGCTGCCTCAGCTGCTTCTCTACCATGTGGTCCCTGTTCTCCAAGGCCTGCTTCAGCCTGCGGAGGCCTGGATTGGGGAAGAACTGGGGCAGGGAGCAAGAGGATGTAGCCCCAGGCAAGGAAGCCTGTCCCCCCCAGCCCCTCTCTCTCCCGGGACCCAGCGAGTCTGGGCTCCACCTCCTCACCCTGAGAAAGGGAACAATGTCCAAGATTTGGACGGACCAGTGCTCCCAGGTTTTCATCAAGTCCTGGACACAGTCATGAAAGGCATGTACTAAGGTGTCCTCCTGCCCCCCGCCAAAAAAAGAGGGAATGGTTTCAGTTCAGGACCAGAGAGAGAGTCAGGGAGGGGCCAAGGAAGAGCCCCAGCATATGGAGGGCAGGGAACCTTGACCTGGTCTCCAAAGGTGAGGTGACAGATGATGGTGCAGGTGAGGAGAGAGAACTCCTTCTGGATGGCCACAGGGGTGCCGGCCTGGGCTCTCATGCGCTGCAGAGAAGGGGCTGGGACTAAACGGGCCGGGCCGGGCCGGGCCAGGGAGCTGCCGGGACAGGGGAGGCGGGCGGGGGCGACTGCGGGAGTGCACCCTCACCTCACAGAACTCCTGGGTCAGCTGCTCCACCATCCCCTCCGTGGAGTCGAAGAGGCCCAGCAGCAGGGCTGAGCGGGTGAGTTTCTTGTGAGCCTTCCAGAGCAGGGAGTAGTCCCCGAGGGAGAGGTCCTGGTAGTGCTGAGACACCAGCTTATCTGTGAGTAGGAGAGGGGTCGAGCTGACCACGGAAGCCACGGGTCTGACCTCCCCTGCCTCCGCCAGCCCGTTTCTTCCCTCGAGAACCGCCCCGACCCTTACAGGACGCTGTCTGGGGTCTGCCGGCAAAGTCCACCCATTTCCTGATCATGGCTTCCTCGATGGTCCTCTTGGAGTTCAGCACCACCACATCTGGGGGAGGGCCAAAGTGGGGCATCAGCAGGGAGGGGACCCCTCCTCCCCTCTGTGGCGGGGCCGGGGGAGGGCAGCCGGGGCAGACGAACCTCTCAGCCCCAGGCGGAGCCTGTAGACAGGCCCCAGTTTCTGGGTCAGACCCAGCAGGTAGAGGGGAAGGTTGGGCCGCAGCAGGTGCAGGAAGCCGGGCACAAGAGGTGGGAGGTGGAGGCTGCGGAGCTTCCACTTGTGCCACAGCAGGCGGGCGCCAGCCAGCACGGTCAGCAGCAGAAGCCCGAGGAGGAGCATGGCCAGAGCCCCGGGCAAGGCCCTGGCTGGGCCACTTATAGTGTCGGCGGCCCCTGCACCCATCTTGCTGCTCTGACTCCTTCCCTCGGCTCCCTGCCCACTGCGCCGCCCACGTATCCTGGAGGGGCACCAGTCCCCCCTGGCCTTGGGCAGTCCACATGTCAAAGAACCGGCCTTTCATCCATCAAGAAGAAAGGAAGGGGGATGCGGCCGTGACCTTTCTCCCGCAGCCAGGGCAGCCAGGATCGGTTTCCTGGCCTGGCGTCAGCCAGGCGGGAGAACGCGGCCGCCCTCGGGCCTGAGCCCTCTCCCCGCCACCCCACCTTGGACGAGCTTCCTGCTTTATCTGGGAGAGACAACAGCCTGCCCTGCCTCACCAGCCCTCCAGGACTGCCTGAGGGCGAAAGGGGATGAAAGTGGCCTGTGTGTTTTTAACTTACAGACAGGGTGACCGGATGGCCTGGTCTGCCTGGAGCACCCCAGTTTATACCTGTAGGCCCAGTGTAACTATTAACCATGCCCCATTCCCATCTCAAAAGTTGAAGAAGATGAAGAGCGATATGGCCCCCCGGTTTAGAGCTCTTACTAGTACTCGATATACTCTTTGGTTGCAAAGGAAAGCGACCAACTTGAGCTGGCTTGAGCCAAAAAGAGGAATTACTGTACAAATACGGGGGCATCTCAGAGAACTGAAGAGAGCAGGAGAGGGGGCCTCGGTGGCCTTGGAAGCCAGGGACGGGGGAGGCCAAAGCTGCAGAGAGGCGCCAACTCCTCACTCTTGGCTCCTCCCTCCTCCGCGTCTGCCACCCGCCCTCTCCCCTCTCCCTCTGCCCCTGCTGCTTGTGTTCCCAGCTACAGGCGGGATGGGACTGCCTCCAGCGTCAGAGTCCACAGGCCCAGCCCCAGGTCGAGAGGGTTCCCGGCAGGACTGAACATGCCCCCTACCAATGCCAAAGTCCCCAGGAAGGAGCCCGAGAGCCACAGTGGGATCAGGAGGTCCAGCCCTATCCTGCGAGCTGTTGCCATAAGGGCTGGGGTCCCACTGGACCAGGTAGGGCTGGACCACTTTCAGAAACCACTTTCACGGGTGAGGAGGCAGCTGAGAGGCTCAAAGGAGGTTTCGGAGAGATCGTGCCAAAGGGCTAACAGTGCTTAGTGAGAGATCTGGGCTGCCTGGGGGTGGGAGAGAGGGGTCAGAGGTGACCTAAAGCGCACATCACCCCCCAACTCCCCATGCCTGGCTCTGTAAACTGATCCTGGCACCCAGGAGTGGGTAGACCTCCCCCCGCCACCCGCCCCGAGCTTTACCCAGAGTGCACAGGCTATGTGGCTGGAGGCCAAGTCGAGGTGCTGGCTGTGCCACCCACCAGCTTGAGGAGTAACTGCTGGGGGTCCTGGTGGGAGAGGTCGGGCTCGGCCTGGACCCATGCCCAGGGCCGGGAGGGAGAGAGCAGGGGCGGCACTTCGAGGGTTAGGCAGCCACCGCTAACCCCCTGCCTCACAGTTGACCTCCCAGACCCAGGCCGTGTCCTGCCACAACTGCAGCGGGTGCCTGGCTCTCACAGATGGCTCTCGGCCACCCCATGCTGGCCAGCTTCGGGGACAGAGATGTGATGGGTCGCCGCAGGGCCATGGAACAATAGTCCCGGGGAGCCTCGGGAACACAGAACCTCTCTGAGTTGCACAGCATGGGAGGGGGCTCCACTGGAAAGAACAGTGACCCGGAAAGCTGGCCTGATTGTGAACCAGCCTTCCTCAACTGACCTGATTACGCTGCCAGCCCCAGCTCTCCCACCCCATCTCCAAATCCGAATCTCGGACACGGTGGAATCACATGCAGTGCCCCCAGATGGGCTCGGTCCTGCCCCCTGACCTCTGGGCCTTTCATATTCTCCGCCCGTCTACCTCACAGGCGCTCAGCTACCCCCACTCTCTATGCGTGACGAATCAGCTTTCAGAACCCAAGTCAGAGGTCACCTCCTCTGGGAAGCCCTCCCCTTCTCCCTGCCCCCAAATTCGGTCGGGTGCCCCACAGGACCAGGCAGCTCCCGAACAGCACACGTTTCGGGGATGGGGACCTGGCACAGGGCATGGCATGGAGGGAGAGCCCCACAGACTGAAGCCGTTCGATCGGCTGGCAGGCTGGTGCACGGACTCCGCTGCCGTCAACACCGATCTCGGCCAACTTCTCTAGCTGGATTTCTAGTCAGCCCTGGAGACCCAGCAGGGGCCACCGAACGGGGGAGAGCGAGGCAGGCAGGTGGGGAGGGTGGACCCGCTAAAACAGCGGCCTCCTCGGTGTATCAAACCCCACCCTGAAGTCATGGCGCAACTCGGGGAAAGTTCCCTAACCACTGGTAAGGAGATCAAGAAGCAACTGCTTCCAAGAAACCAGACGTCAGCTACAGGCCGGAGACCCCAGAACACCCAGCCGCACAGGGGCAGAGCGGGAAACGCGTGGCCCAAAGGGTGGCGGCGTTAGGCTCAGCTCAAGCCACGCCCGAGGCCGCAGGGACCGGCAACAGCAGGGCCGTGGAGGGAGGCCTCATTGTGGCGCCGGAGCCTTGGGGTGCAGGCTGCGGGGTCACAGGTCCGCTCAGGGCGCTTCTAGGATGGACTGAGCTCCCAGGGAATCGTCTGGGAGTGACACCCCCAAGGGTCACCCAGGCTCTGGGAGCCCAAAATGACGCAAACCCTGGCCTCAGAAGCTGGCGGGGGGCGGGGGGCATTGCTCTCAGTCCTGGAGACACACACTGATGCTCTGCTGCCAAAGGCCTTTATTGAGTCCCTGGGCCTGCCTGGGCCGTGTCCGGGGGGACAGGCACTGCGACCATCCGGGCATCCCCGGGCGGTGGGGGGGGAGGCGGCCCTTACACCTGGCACCCCTGAGTGCCGTACTCCTGGAGGAAGTCGCTGAGCTGCGCGCAGGCTGCCCGATGGCGGGTGCTCTGGCAAAGGCGTTCAGAGGGCATCTCCTCGACCCAGGTATTCGAGTCCAGCAGGTACTGGGGGCTGCGGAGGCAAAAGGGCAGTCAGCAGGGCTGGGGGGAATGGGCGCCTGGTTTCTGGCGGGCCAGGGTCTGCATGCTGGGGATCCGTTCCCTCGCGAGGTGGGAGGACAGCAAGCGACACAGGGGCCCGGAGAACTCACTCTCCCTTGAGGTCAAAGGTAGCTCCATCCAGACCCATGATCAAGTACTCTTTCCCAGGTTCCAAGCGAAGGCGGCAAGAGGCTCGAACCAGGAAGTTGCGGGTCTGACGGACGGTGGCCTTGGTGTCCTTGGCTGAGAGGATAAGGGGCACAGGAGTTGTCAGAGGCGAATGGAAGGTACAGGGCCAGTGGGGGCTGGGGGCTGGGCCCGGAACCTCTCATCGAGCCCTCACTGCTCCTCACGGAGACGTATGACTGCTTTTCAATTGATGGCCAAGCCCAGAGCCTCCAAGAGGCTGAGGGGCTTTGAGCTCAGCCTCCGCACATCCACTATCCTGGGCACCTGGGCTGCCAACCCTGACCTCGGCCCCCTCTGTCCCCCAGCCCCACCGGCCCATCCGTTCCCTTCATACTGAAGTGCAGGACTTGGGTGATTCTGGTCTCGAAGAGACGGAAGGCAGCTCTGCCATCTTCTCGAAGGACCTTCACCTGGAAGCCTACGAGGGCGTTTAAGAGAAGGGAGCACGGGTTTGTTCCACCTGCGGTCACGGGGCGCAGCCCAAGTGCAGAGCCCGGGGC